AATATCAAAAACAGACTTGACCATGAAACCTTAACCATATTAACCTTGGTCACTCATCCATAAAGTGAGGTCGAGGTAAGATGAACCCAGAATGATGGACATGTAGACCTTGCAAGAATCCCATTTACTACATAAAGTTATTATATTACTCCTAGTACGTGAGAAATTCACATGAAATATAACTTATTAAGTTTTTAAGTAGAAGCCGAACCATGACAATGAGGTCGAATAACAATTATTGACACATGACAGACATAAACTTCATAATATAAGGGAAGCCAGGTATGAGTTTTTTCAGGTCTTTCACCGTCTGATATATAAATCTTCATAAACATATTAGTAGTATTTTACACGGTCGCCGCCGCCGGATAAGCCTTTATATGTCTAGCATTCTGCGACTTTCGTAACAGGGAAGACAAACCAAAAAGAAAGATTTAAAGAACTATTCCTATACTCGTTAGCTTAATTAATACACTATCGCAAAATTCTCGATTGAAAATATTGATTTCATTAATATCCTGAATGTACACTCATACAATTAAATTTTTATGTTTGTGGTGAAAATTGAATACAGTTTTGACCAATATCAAACATGCGTCCTTCAATTTTCAAGGCCGTACACTATCCAAGTTTGAACACTTAAATTTACATAATTGATATTAAAAAAAATTAAATTGTGTTACAAAAACCTTCATTCCTTTGTATTTCTCCGTTAAAGCATTCGTTTTTATACAAAGCAAAACTAAAATTGTTTTTGTTCCAATAAAGCAGGAATTTAAGTGTTTACGGATTCAAATAGATTATAAGTTATCCTCTGAAAAATTGTTTTCCAACGAGCCCCCAAACTCCTGTTGAACGGCAGATTTTAATTTACGTCATGCGATTATGCATTACTTTCTATGACAAAGCCGGGTCTGCTTTGTAAAATTTTAGGACGAAACCGGGTCGTACACATTGACAAAACCGGGTCCTTCATTTTTAACATGACCCATTTCTTTCTTTCCATGCACAGAAATACAAATATTGAGGTGCTCATAGTGACAAGTCTTGCAATCTCCGTGCTAATATCTTTCTGTCCGTACCTCACTTTCCGTACAATGTCCACAATTTAAAGAGAAATTAAACAAATTCGAGGCAAGGTTCACTCAATTCACCATTTTGATGTGCCTTTTTACTTATTCGTCCATTTGTCTAGAACGGTTGTAGAAAATATTACATCTCACAATCGAAAATAGTAATCTGCGTATTTATATTCTTCAGTATCATAAAAGTAACAAATAAATAAACAGAAATCCTACCTTTTCTCTGTCTGTTGATGATCCGTCACCGTACCGGATATTAGATACTATTGAGTCCAAACAGTTTTTGCCGGGGTAGTTTAGACACAGTGCACAGGGTCAAATTAAAAAAAATGGTTACATCCAAACAAAAAAAAATAGTAAAGAGTCTATTTCATATAATTATTTTAAAAATTTTCAACAGTTTAACATAAATATGTTCACAAAATCAAAATGTAATTCCGGAATATATATGTTTCAGTTGATGGTATTTTGATGCAAAATTGCAAATGTTGCATGTCTGTGGAAGCCATTAACCAAAATGAATAATTTATATCAGAAGAAAACTATATACAGCTTTACCTCTGACAGAATCTTTGTTCTAATTAATAATGTTCTTATATATTTAAAATTATAAATGCTATAAAATTGTCAAAATTGCTGTTTTGAGTTATCTTCAAACATTGATAACTTGATCTTCTGTTTATAATTAATAATATTGTTAGAACAACAAACATGACAGAGTACACAAATGGAGCTGTGATAATGTGAATATCAATAAAGATGGGTCCAGATTGTGAAAAAAATAGGGGCCGTTTGCTCTACCTCTTACACGCGAATATGTCTCGCCTGTTTTACTTCAAATGATTGAATGTCTTTAAAATAAAGGTTTTACTATTCTTTTTGCATGCATTAACATTATCAATTATCCATGTAAATGAGGTCAATCATAACATACACCAAATATAGTCTGCGATTGTGTACATTATCTGATAAATGGACTTAACCACGAAAGCTTAATATTGACCAAAAAACCATGAACATGAGATCAAGATCAAATGAAACCTGTCAGATAGACATCATTCCATACACCAAACATAGTTTATCTTTTGCTTATCGAAGAAACAAACCAATCCACAAGACTTAACATTTACCCATGAACCATGAAAATGAAACCTGCCATGCAGTCCAACATGTACACTTTACAATTTCATACATCATACATAGTTGACATTTTGCTTATAGAATATCAAAAACAGACTTGACCATGAAACCTTAACCATATTAACCTTGGTCACTCATCCATAAAGTGAGGTCGAGGTAAGATGAACCCAGAATGATGGACATGTAGACCTTGCAAGAATCCCATTTACTAAATAAAGTTATTATATTACTCCTAGTACGTGAGAAATTCACATGAAAAATAAACTATTAAGTTTGTAAGTAGTGGCCGAACCATGACAATGAGGTCGAATAACAATTATTGACACATGACAGACATAAACATCATAATATAAGGGAAGCCAGGTATGAGTTTTTTCAGGTCTTTCACCGTCTGATATATAAATCTTCATACACATATTAGTAGTATTTTACACCGTCGCCGCCGCCGGATAAGCCTTTATATGTCTAGCATTCTGCGACTTTCGTAACAGGGAAGACAAACCAAAAAGAAAGATTTAAAGAACTATTCCTATACTCGTTAGCTTAATTAATACACTATCGCAAAATTCTCGATTAAAAATATTGATTTCATTAATATCCTGAATGTACACTCATACAATTAAATGTTTATGTTTGTGGTGAAAATTGAATACAGTTTTGACCAATATCAAAATTTTATGAACTTATCACTTATCTGCCAGTTGGAAATGTGAACCTTACGATCATTCTATACACCAAATATAGAAGACCTATTGGTGATAGAATTTGAGATATGGACTTTATCATGAAAACTAAATCTTGTTCACTGATCCATTAAACGATGTCAAGGTCAAATGAAATATGTCTGACAGATACTTATCTTATTTCATATGTATCAAAAATCAGTAAATGTGATTCTGTTGTGCAAACAAAATTTCAAAAGTTCTTCAATCTGTACATATTCAGCCAATTAATCTTTATGAAGGGACTGGAGTGAACTGTATTCTATGTTAAACATTCATGCATGAGTGACCTTATTTTAACATTTTCACTCCTTCCAATGTTTTTGTTAATCACGGTTTAGTAATGATCCCTTAAAAGTTTTTATTATTTATTATCATTATTAATGTTATTTAAAGATTTTTAAAAAATAATCTATTTCAATGTAAGTAATCAGCAGTTAAATAATAAAATACATTCCATGCACCAAATATAGTTGACCTATTACTTATAGCATCTGAGAAGAAGACCAAACAACAGAAACTTAACATTGACCAATGAACCATGAAAATAAGCTCAAGGTCAGATGAAACCTGTCAGACAGACGTGCACACCTTACAATCATTCCATACACCACATATAGTTGACCTATAACTTATAGTATCTGAGAAGATGACCAAACAAGAGCAACTTAACATTGACCAATGAACCATGAAAATGAGGTCAAGGACAAATGACACCTGCCAGACAGACATGTACACCTTACAATCATTCCATACACCAAATATAGTTGACCTATTGCTCATAGTATTAGAAAAACATACCAAAACACAAAAACTTAACATTGACCAATGAACCATGAAAATGAGGTCAAGGACAAATGACACCTGCCAGTCAGACATGTACACCTTACAATCATTCCATACACCAAATATAGTTGACCTATTGCTTATAGTATTAGAAAAACAGACCAAAACACAAAAACTTAACATTGACCAATGAACCATGAAAATAGGTCAAGGACAAATGACACCTGCCAGACAGACATGTACACCTTACAATCATTCCATACACCAAATATAGTTGACCAATGGCTTATAGTATTAGAAAAACAGACCAAAACACAAAAACTTAACATTGACCAATGAACCGTGAAAATGAGGTCAAGGTCAGATGAAACCTGCCAGACTGACATGTATCCCTTATAATCATTCCATACACCACATATAGCTGACCTACTGCTTGTAGTATCTGAGAAACGGACCTAATCACGTAACTTTAACCTTGATCACTGATCCATAAAATGAGGCTGAGGTCAGGTGAACCCTGTCTGATGGACATGTAGACGTTGCAAGGAACCCATATACCAAATATAGTTATCCTATTACTCATAATAAGTGAGAAATTTACATAACAAAAAAACTAAACTTTTTTTTCAATCAGTTGCTGAACCATGAAAATAAGGTCAAGGACATTGGACATATGACAGACGGAAAGTTCGTAACATAAGGTATCTGCATACAAAGTATGAAGCATCCAGGTCTTTTACCTTCTGAAATATAAAGCTTTATACAAATAGTTTACGACGCCGCCGCCGCCGCCGGATAGTAATACCTATGTTTCACTTTCTGCGACTTTCGTCGCAGGCGAGACAAAAACCTGCAACCAATTAATATATACAAACATCAAATCATTCAAATTTGTGGCAAGTTACTAGAATGTCAACTTTAATCAATATCAAATTTAATGACAGATGCCACTGGAGGACTGACACTTATTACCCTTCCTTGAAGAGGAATTAGTGTTGCTCAATTTAAAAACAAAACCTTTGTAATGATTTTGTAGACGGTTCTTTTTGGGGTCTTTTCTTATTTTGGCTGTGGTATTGTCAATTTTTCCTCAAATTTTATTATTGGTTTCTCCATATTTTCTGGTGTCAATTTGTTATTTTAGCTGAAATATAACAAGGTGTTTACCTTAGATAAGTAAATCTAGTTTGTCTAAAAATGATGTTGATGCAGGATTCTCCATTTTCATTCTAATCTATCTTATAGCAGGGACTGTAAAACTAAAATCATAGACTTTGTTGTATCCTTTATTTACATATTTACACATAATTCAATTCATTTAACTACATTATAAGGATATTTGTGAATATTTCAGAGCTTTCACATTTCGTGTTTAAATAATATCAATATATATATTGTATATATAATTAAACCATTCTTATATATAAGACTCGACATTATTTCATTATGAGACATCATATGTACCCTTTAATACATTTGTATGTTATATTTTTGTTGTTTGTATGCCAAACAAATTATAGAGCCAAAGAAACTATCTGTGTCCAAAAATATAAAAATTATTTTGAATGAAAGAAAAAGAGAAAAGTAAGAATGGGCTTAATAATCATAGTACCAAAGAAGCACAAACCTTTGATTTTTAAAAACAATAAACTAATTAGATGTGGTATGATTGGTAAAAATGTTAATGTGTCAAGTCCACAACATTTACACTGGCATATTTAAAGCTGTCTTTAAATATCATAATAAGCTATTTTCAGCCAGAACATGGATCAATATATACCATTTGGAGTGAGTTAAAGTCACATTCAACATTTTTCTGTTTATTGTTAGTATAAAACTTTATGAAAAATTTCATTAACTACACATCACAAACAGTAAGTGAAATTGACAAAACAGTACATACACTATAGCTATCATTATCCCTGAACCCTCCCAAAAAGAAGTGGTTGCTTAATAAAGGTAAGATTTATTGCCACTACTTGAGAAATGTATCAAGTCTCTCTGAAAAAATAAAGAGGGATCAGCAGTCAAAAGTCAGGAAAATGCACAAAAAACACAAAATTGTTTTGCCAATAGGGTCTTTCTGGATTTGACCCCCCTCCCCCCCACAAAAAAAAAAAAGACAACAGTATATCTAATATATGCATCAAGATGCACTGTAGGTGTATAAAAATAATAAATCAAACCTGATTATACAAAATTCAACAAGATATAATATCAATAACTAACTCTACAACAAAATTCAACAAACAATTGCATAACGTAATTTTCTACATAATCATTAAATGTTTCATATCACATCTACCAAAATACCAAACAGAACAGCACTATCTAAATCAGAACAGTAAATAAAGGCAGTACAAAATAATGATTTTTTTTCTATGATCACTAAAATCAAAAAATCAAGAACACTGGTAATGGTTAAGATACTCATTCAAAATTACATTTGTCCTGTCAGCCAATTTCTTGATGTTTTCTAACAAGTTGACTTTATAGACAAATGAAATAACTGGACTTGGAGTCAATTCAATTTTTTGGAAATCAATGACAACTAAACAAAACAAAAATAAATGCTTGTTAGCAGCTATCCATAAATTACAAAATATAAAAATAAGAAGTTGTGGTTTGACTGCCAATAATGAGAATATTCCCAACACAGACCAACAAACAAGAAAAGTAACAACTATGTTAATGTTGAGCAAGGACCTTACAGAAAGACATACTGTAAAAAGCCCAAGAGACAACTGACAGCAAAATTGAAGTCAATATCAGTAAAAACCTAATAAAATCAGATGAATAGGAAGACAACATCAAATCAAAATGTAATGCATTCTGGGTAATATTTTCAAATGCATAGACTGAACCATTTTGATTGGTTTACACTGTCCTAAATAATGGATGTACGACCAATGGATATAAAAGTTATTTTCACTTTCCTGTACTAAGAATGAAATGACACACAATCTTTGCAAATTCTGAAACAGTTAATTAGATGAATTTATAGGAACTTACCAAATTCTGAAACAGTTAATTAGATGAATTTATAGGAACTTACCAAATTCTGAAACAGTTAATTAGATGAATTTATAGGAACTTACCAAATTCTGAAACAGTTAATTAGATGAATTTATAGGAACTTACCAAATTCTGAAACAGTAAATTAGATGAATTTATAGGAACCTACCAAATTCTGAAACAGTAAATTAGACGAATTTATAGGAACTTACCAAATTCTGAAACAGTAAATTAGACGAGTTTATAGGAAATCCATTGCAAAATTTTTGATACATAAAAATCTAAATAATTCAAAGGAATATAAAAAATTGGATTGACCTAGGAGGAGATCTCATTACTGAGCATGTGACATTGTCAATGTCACACTGAGGCTGACAAGTATAACAAACAACTCACCAGATAGCACCTACCATACATTAATAAGATTTATCAGTTTTTTTAATTAACTTTTCTTAAAAAAATATTGAGAGATAAAATTAACATAAAGATGACTTTAAACAAAATAGCTCCAACAGGTTTCAGTTACCAGTTGTTATCAATTTACAACAAATATCCAGCCCAATTGTATAACTCTCTTATACACATTATAAAATCATGGAAAATCAAGAAAAAATAAACTACAATCCTCCGATTTTCCAACTAAAACTTTCATTTACTATCAATCCCATATTTCTAGAAGATAAGTTAAAAATAAATCAAGATGCATGAATCTATAGAAAAACCACAGTCCATTAATGCTTCTTTCAAATTATAAAAAATAAGATATGATATGTTCAAAATATATTACCTTAATTAAACAAACTACTAGCATTACCAATTAACATATACAGCACATACATATACATATATATCTTTTAAAAGTAGTTAAATTTCTCCACCATGAGATGAAATCATATGCTTTTATTTAATCAGGTTAATGTTAGAGCGAGATACAAAATTATAAGACACCAAATTAATTTGATGACCAATTGCACATTGAAAATTTTTAATTTCTAAACATGGGCCCTAACCAATTGTTGGAAATCAGAAAATATATAATCTAATAAATTCCTTGCCCAAAAGAGTGACCAATCAATCGGAAGTAAATGTTGGATTTAGAGGAAAATTATTGTTCAGTGCAATTTGTCTATTCATTTTCTGGTCTTTTTTTTTAAACATCTCACATATTCCTTTATCACAACATATGGATGAGCATGAACATGAATTGCCCCATTATGAAGATACAAATTTCCACGTGATGAAAATAAGCTCCTAGATATGAAATCAAGATTCAATCTATGTTTTACATGTTGTTGGTTTCATTTTCAATTTCTTGCAGGATTTCATTTTCTAATTCATCGTCTAAGATTTCTCCTTCCTGGCCCACCATTTCATATTCTTTCAATTCAGCCTGTAGTTCATTTTCCCATTCATTGTCATCTAAACAAAATAAATTTGTCACAGAATGTATTACTGTAAATTCAGAAATTATTGCAATGTTTTTATTAATGTGAAAAATGAGTCAGTATGAGGATTGCTATAATAATTCCACTGATTACAAATTCATGTTCTATTACATTGCTGGTAAAATTGTCAATTGTTGTGTAATTTCAGAAATTGCTGACTCCATGCAAATTTATTATCAAACTCAAAAGAAATCAGTTTGGATATGTATATACTACTGAAAAAAACCCCAGATATATTGCTTTAGAAGCATCATTATCATAATGAGCACTCCCAACCAAAACCTGGTGTTGTTCTTTTCAGAATATAATCTAAACTACAAATATATTGTTTTAATCTTATGATAACAGCAATTTTTGACCAAATGCCTTTTACTTTGATTAGGAAAAGATATAATGGATATAGCTCTCTTTTCACAGACCGGGTCATAAAGTTTTGTTTTTTGTTGTTGTCAAGTGTAAATTAACCTATTTTTCTTAATTTTAAGGCAGACATGTATTACCTCCCTTTTTGTCATCTTCTACATGGAGCTGTTGCATTTCTTTTTTCAAATCTTCATCATTGAGAGCATCAGCTTGGAATGTATCACTAACAAACTCGTTCTCGGCAGGACTGCAAGGAATGTCATCTTCTACTTTAGATTTCTGTTGGATTGCCTGGGGAGGTGTTGATTCTGTCATGAAAAAAGAGAATAAAAATCCGACTCAGTCTGTCTGTCTAGTACAAAGCAGGATTAATATTCATATAACATTAACATGTTCTCGTCCTGAATATGCATATTAATTTGCCGCTGGACATTAAAAAGCCATCCATCATCATCAAATTGCTTCTGTTGGCATTCAATAACAATCCTAATTCCCAAGGATTGCCAGTTTTTTCAACATAAATATGTGATTCTGTCTGGGTACTCCAGCTTCCCTAACCAACAACGTCAAGCCACCATGATACAAGTATGCTGGAAGTGGCATTAAACACCAACAAAATTAATCAATCAATTGATCCTTCACAAAAATGATATAACAATGGACGGTCAGACAAAAGTAAGATTATAAAGTCTGTGTTCAGCATAAGAAAAATTCAAATTTATAGTATTAGTTTGGAAACTGTGTACCACTTCATGATAAGATTTGTCTAAATATACAATTCATCTGACCTTTTTCCTGGTTTTCATCTGAAGACTTAAAGGACCCTGTACTGTTTGATCTACTTCCCAATGAGGAACCTGCAAAATAAACATGTATGTGTTCTTCAGTTTTATAAATTATAGTAGCAATTACGATATTAAAGATAGGAAAAAATACTTCTTCTCAAATATCCCCATGCTTAAAGTTTCACCTTTGGTCATGTCTGGGTCTTTTATAGCTGACTAAACAGTATGAGTTTTCTCATTGTTGTCACCTAAATATATTTACATCAATATCATTTGGACTCTGGTAGAAAGATGTCTCATTAACAAATCATACATGAACCACATCTCCTTATTTTTATATATGTGTTCTCAGTATTTTTGTTCCTAATTTTTAAACACTTAAAAAGTTGGATATAAATACAAGCGTACAAAGACTTTTTCTGAAGGCATAAGTAATCTTCACATTTATGAAGAAAAATCTTCGTAGTGATAGCACTTAAACTTGGTCAACTGGATTGAATCTCAATAAATATTGATGATCAGATATTAGGGGTATAAGATATACAACTTCAACTTGAACTTATAAATCACACTATTGTTTCATTATAAGATGACCTCTAAATGTCTTCTTGATTTTTCTGTACTTGGTCTCTCATTTCTTTTTATGTACTATAATAAGTATAAATGACAAATACAACTTATATAAATATATACCAATAAAACTGAGAATGGAAATGTGGAATGTGTCAAAGAGACAACAACCTGACCAAAGAGCAGAAAACAGCAAGAAAATCCCACACCCGAAGGCGGGCTTCAGCTGGCCCTAAACAAAAATGTGTACTAGTTCAGTGAAAATGGACATTGCACTAAACTCCGAAACATATAAATGAACTAAAATTTAAAAAAACATACAAGACTAACAAAGGACAGAGGCTCCTGACTTGTGACAGGCGAAAAAATGCAACGTATTTTAAGATTTGGTAAATTAAACAAAAAGCTGTTACTATGCTCTGACTTCTATTATTTTCTTGGCAGAGAAACGTGAAAAAAAGTGTCTCTAGTTTGACACAGACAGAAATTGAACCAAAGACCGTCATACCTTAAGACAACAGAAACAGTCATTGACAGTAAGACACCTAAATGAAAATGCCTTTATCATAGTGTAAAATTATGGTGAATTTTATATTTTTGGCAGATGATAGAGCAAGTCTTGCTCATCAAAGCTTACATCATCTGTTTCGGGTATGTGTGACCTCATTCTCATATCACAATGAGGAGTTGTAGGAGGGAGTGTCATTCAGAATTCCAACAACAATAAAGTTTTCTTTCCAGGATCCTGAAAAATTAATCATTAACTCTCAAGTCCTGATAGATCTAAATCCCAAATTCCCACGAAAATAAAGGCACATAAATTTCCATAAAAATAAAGGCCCAATCCTGACATTCTGAAAGAGGACCTTCCGCACCTTCAAAATGCCAACCAGGGTCAGATTCTGTCAGTCTAGTTTGCCAGCAGGTTTGACATTCTGTGAAGGTATTAATATTCATGAGTATCTTTCCTATTGAGTTAATCATTGACACTAAATGAGTCGACCAATAAAGATTCATTTCATTCATATCAAATTTGAAATTTTCAATCTATTTTCCTGACGTTTGATTGGTTGTTGAATGCTTGGTCTGCAATTGAATTTACAATTTCAGAATATCACAACCAATGAATTTTCTATAAATCATGGTACCGTAATAATATTCCATGAATTATGTACTGTAAAGTGGTTTATTTTCAAGGAGTTTTAAATTTGTCATTTAAAGCCCAAACCTGTTCAATAGCAAAGTTTTGTTATTTTCATGTTTTTTACTTGTCTTATACTTTTACTCTGATCAAATGTATGCTGTGATGGTTGGGGATATTTTCCACAATTTTATATTGATCATGAACTAAGTAAAAACAAATCCCTCTATTACAGTAAGTATTTTTTTTAAATAAATACCTGTTTCTTGTGCAAGAGATGTCAGTTGTGTAGATTGTTTGATAAGTGAAACCCTGTAAAAGTAGTTCCTCCAGAAAATATCTTCTTTCACTCTGAATTAAAGTAAAATTTTACCTTTAAACATACTTTGAAACAAATTGAATTTAGACTGTCATGTTAGTTGTAGAAATTGACTTAACAACTAAGTCAATAATTAATTACCTGTCACCCACCATTTTGTCTGAAAATCAACAAAAGAAAATCTAGGAATTAGCCATCACTTGTCCAAATATCGAATGAAAACTGATCTTACAAAAATGAACACAGTGAAATAAATGTCTTCTTAATGGAATATAACTTAAAAATGTATTGGAAGTCTTAGAAATAAGGTTATAACATGATGTAGAAAGAAAGCCTAACATTAACCAGTGAAGCATAAAAACGGCCAAGATCAAGTCATTCTTGTCAGACATACATGCACACCTTTCAAATATTGAGGTTTAAGCATTTCCCTTATGATAACTTTTAATTATAAAGTGTAAAGAATTTAAAAACAAGATTAAAATAAAAAGTCCAGCATTGTCAAATTTTCTTTGGAAGCCCTAGACCTGGGAAGAAGGCATGTTTAAAAGCTAAGAAAGGCTCACAGTGAATCAGGCATTTAAAAAAAACAAATTTCAACAAAATGGTTTTTTAAATCTTTAATAATTATAGAACTTACTGTTTTGGTACAAGATCAAATCTCATTTTCTGTAAATTAGAATCTTCTTGAAGGGTTGCCATGGCAACAGGGTATGATGCTTCAAAGTCAAACTGGAACTGAACACCAGCAGGAGGATTTCTGACAAAATTTCTCTTGTCCTGAAAAATTTAAAATGCTCATATTCTCTGTAAACATCAAGAGAAATTAACATGAACCAATAGTTTATTATACATGGAAATGTCTTATGTTTAGGCAAGAGAGATTTGCTGATTTGCTATTGTGTATGCCTTAATTTATCATTGGAAAAGCTTCATTGACCAATTTTAACAGGAATAACTCTTCCAGTGTATCAGTGTCCCCCCCTCCCCACTGTTTTTGTTTGGGTTAAATTTGTATTGCTTAATTGATGCTTTTTTTTGTAGTGTTTAATGGACTGTTATTTTTTTTTGGTTCTTTTGGCCATGGTGGTTTTGTCTGTTTTTCTTTGACATTTGGTTTTTGATTGCTCCCTTGGTGTCTTCTGCCCTTTATTCATAGTTAATGGTCAATATACAATAAATTCAGAAATTATTGCCATGTTGTTATAAATGCGAAAAATGTAACAGAATCAGGTTTGCAATAATAAAAACTTGCATTCATAATTTCAGTAGAAATTTTCCTTCACCATGTTCACAAAATTTTTCCTATCACATTAATTCAATCTCATATTTTTACCAGTAACTAGTAATGTGCAATAGTAAAAGCATGCATTAGTTTCTGAATTTACAGTACTGTCAATATGCCTGAGATTTACTTGAAGTATATCTCTTTTAGATGAATTCTACAACTAAATAGGTCCAGAGGTGCTCTCTGTCTCATATTTGTGAATGTATAATTCTGTTGTTTAATTTATAACCTTACAAGAAAGCCCTTTTAATTGACAAAGTCCCTGTGCCCTCAGACAATAGCTAGAGAGGCACATTGAAAAAAGAATGTATAAACAGGGGAAAACATACTGTTGACAAGGCCAGGATCTGTGATTTCATAGTCTCTTCTTCATTATAACCAACCCATGGTGGTACTGCTGCTTCTGATCTCTTGGCTTTCTCTTTCTTTTCTGTCACAAATTTGTTTTGCTCCTTGGCAAAATCTCCCATTATAGTCTAAAAGAAATATAAGTTATCTTTGTGTTTATTATATTTAAGGAATCGTGTGTTTTAGTGCAGTCTTCTTAAAAAAATTTCTCTCAAAATTACTTTTGTGGTCTATATATAGCTAATGGTCATGATGGTTGTATGTATAAGTGTTAAAAATGAATAAAACATATTAAATTCATTCATTTGTGGTCTAATGGTTGGAGATCTGACATCTGTTTAATGCATGACTAAGTTTCACATAAGTCACACCTAAGATTTCAAAGTGGTACATTGTATCTAATTTGCTACTTTGCTGCCAAGCATGCATGCGCATAGCAATGCTGGTCATCTACATGTAAAAATTTAAATGTTTCTGAAAATAGTGTCATGTCTTCAAACTTGAGGCTGAGTGGTCTAAGTAGTTCATCTACTGCATCCCTAGCCTGTCAACACTGCACTGTGAGGAGATTGAAGTGGCAATCATACCACATCTCCTTATTTTGCACTCAAAGTTTGAAAATTATCCTTTTGATCACGTTGATATACAACATGTACAATGTACATTGTATTATTTTGATATACATGTACAACATGTAAATTCAATTTTAAGCTTCAAACCAGGATAATGTGAATTTATAAATCTTTTCACATGATCCTGGTTTAAAGCTTACGGTGTACATTGTATATATCAAAATGATGATATTTTCAAACTTCGAATATAAAATATGTAGATGTGGTATGATTGCCATTTCAATCCTTTTACTGCAGGTGCAGTTGAGACATCCAGTACCTTCACTTTTCATATATTTTGAAAATTAAACATACAAACTGTATCATATATTTGTTTTCAAAAGTATACCTATTAAAGCTGTCAAAACAATTCTATTTCAAAGAGAATAGAGATAAATAATTTTGACAAATGAAATGTCTGATGCATTAAGGACTAGGGCTTCCAAAGAAAATTTAACAATGCTTGACTTTTTTTTAATCTTGTTTTTAAATTCTTTACACGTGCACTTTGAAACTAAAAGTTATCATAAGGGAAATGCTTGAACCTCAATTTTTGAAAGGTGTACATGTATGTCTGACAAGAATGACCTGACCTTGACTGTTTTTAATGCTTCAATGATTAATGTAAGGTTTTCTTCCTACATCATGTGATTTAAAATATAAATGTATCTGCAAAACTTTCAATTTTGATTAGTTTCAGACACTTATCACATGCTTATGATTCAAATCAGCAATGTCATATTTCACCTCAATTTCTATACCTTATCAAATATCATACATATAATATATATATACCGTTTCGGTTCCTTACATCACTGAAGAGACATTAATTGTCGAAATCCAGATATGGTGTACCAATTTTTGCACCTCATGTTTGCGGCATACCATCTTTTCCGCAAGTTTATTAATTGTTTTCTGTTTGGTATTACATTAATAATTAAGATCTATTTTGTTACATCTGGTGATCCGTTTATTTGGCAATCGCCATGGCAGTCAGCACGGTTTAAGAACATCCGTTGTTCGACCTGCTAGTCAAATGCGTTTTAATTAAAATATACTTTTTCACTTTTTTGGTCTTTTAGAAAATGTTGTTAGTGCTGTATTTAGACCCCTCTACCAAGAAATTTGTTTTGCATGCACACGAATAAAAGTTGCGGTTTTTATATCCAACACAATCATAGGTTTGAAAGTTGTTTTCAATTTAGACTTGTTAATATATATATATATGAAGCTTGAAATAGTGACTTGTTCAGTGCCCCATCCTTACCACTCATTCCATGGTGTGATGAAAGTGGCCATCCCTATAAACTGCAATCAACAACAGCCAAGTGCACTGAATTACAGGCTCCTGAGTGTTTCAAAATTGTACAATACATACCTTATCTTCAACTGACTTGCCAATAAGTTTGGCTTTATCTGCCACAGTTTTGCCTGCTTCTTTACTGAAACTGTACAGGTAACCTATAAAAAAAAAATTCAAGAATCACTGTTGAACACACACTTGTAACTATAATTTTGAAGCAATAACAATGCAATGTAGTCATAGAAAGAAAGAAGACAGCCGATAAATATGTCCAGTGTAATCAAAGTAACAGTTAATGAAACTAGAGGCTATAAAGAGCCTGTCATGTGTGTCGCTCACCTAGGTCTATATGCATATTCAACAAAGGACACTTTGAAGACTTTTATGCAAAATACATTGTTTGAACAGGGCTCCAGATCAAAATGCAGATAGGTTAAACAGGAAGAAAAGGTTGTGTAATTTCAGAACGTTTCCAGATTGGAATAAATAGCAATAAGGTGTATAGAAAATGTGTGTGGCCACAAAGCAAAAGACGATTATTGTATGACCATGATGCCGTCACTAGTCTACCAGGTCAAGTGTTGCAGATTCCAAAATAGTGATAAGGTCTTTTCATGAAAAACAACTGAAGATTGGTGTTTATGTTGCGAAATTTTTGTATTTTTTCCTAAGGATACAATTTTTCGCTATTTTTCCACCATCACTGGACATCACAAAGGTTCCTGTAAAATTTTAACGTCATAATAGAAGATATACATGTATGATGCCACAATGGAAAAGTGATTGTTGTTTGACGTCAATAGTTCAACAGGCGTAGATTCTTAGGTCAACTGCCCTGGCGCAGATTTCAAAATAGCAATCAGGTCTTGTAATGTATATGTATGTCGTATGTGTTTTGTAGTTAAGTCGTAAGAGTTGTGTCCATTTGTATAATGATGCATATGTCATGTGATGTAATCTGTTGCTTCTAAATAAACGTGCCATGGCAATAGATGTGTTTTTGTTGCTCTTAAGCAAATATAACTTTAGCGGCATGGGGAGGCAAGTATATGTCCCCCCATGTCATGCATATGTAATATGGTGGAGGACTTCAAAATGATCCCGTTAAGTGTATTTTATGTGAGTTGTTTTCCCCAAAGATGATGATTCAACTTCTGACATTTTAGACCACGAGGCTGGTGGCACCATTATTAAATTTGACTAGGATAAAATCTTGGAATTTTCTTTCAGTAGATTATAGTTGTACCATGCATTTGACACCTGATCATATTTTTGGATTTTATGTAAATTTTGGATGTTAGTGTGATTTAGCCAATTTTCAAAAGTCACCATGGGAGTTTTTCGTCAATATAAAGACAACTATACATTTTTTTTCACATTTGAAGAACTGTTATTACACTACGTGTATATCATCGAAAGTTTTTCGGAAATGTTTTTTTGTCATCTGATCGTTAATGTTTCATTTGAACTCGATTGAAATTTCTACACAAACAAACAAACTTTTAACTCCTACAGCTGTGTGTGTTTATGTGTGCAGAAAACTGTAATGTGACGTCCCAGCCTATCGTCTTACTTCGAAAAATTGTTGCTTAGTAATTGGACTTTATATCTTTAGGAACTAATCAGCTTGACTTATATATTATATTTGCAATGTGTATTTAGCAGGGGAAATGGGTAACAGTTTTAAACGATTCAGAAATTCTACACCACAGACGCCAGATGGTACGTGTGAGATTTATCTCTTCGTACACTACACAGTTACAAGGAAAACACGGACTCTATTTTCAAACATTTGATTTTCATGATTATGAATCCAATTTTGTCTCAAGTATTTTTTTTTATAAATTATCTGGTATTTGTGTATTGTTTATACACCAAATTTCTGTAAACAATTTGCCTGATTTGACAGCGGATTGTCAGTAGCGATGTGATAATAGTCATAAATAAAACCTAGGTTGATATTGTCATTTCTGGAGCTTTTCATATGTTTCTTTATTTTTTTTTGTAAGTGTGAAACTGAGAGATTAGACATGTTAGAGAGGGAGAATTAGTCGTATTTTCTTTTACTGGCATATGTAACTTATGAAGTGTTTCATTGATGTAATATTTACCATTGTTAAGAGTTAATGGTCTCTAATGATTATCTATCAAATTATTGTATACAGCTACATTTATGACAATATTCTAGTATTTTCCATTTAGTAGATTTCATATCTTTTTAAGTACATTTGTAGATGTAGTTTATTAAACGTAATGCGTGCATAAGGTTCTTAGGCATGTAAGGGGGAGATGGAGATGCCAGACGTTCAGATTTTTGTATTTTTTAATGCATAGTTGATACCTGTGTGTATGGCAATGGATACTAGATGTGAGAACTGGTCAGCCTCCAATGTTTCAGTTAATACAAACGTACATGTACTTACAAAGATTATTTTGAAACAGATTTTAGTCTAACACGAAAGTGATTATATAGTTTGAATTTATAGTGCATTTTCTCTTTTATCTTGAGATTGTATATGGAAAAAAACACATACACCATTTTAATAAAATTTGGGAAATTTTCTTTTTTGGGACGGGATGTTATGTATATGCAGTGTCTTCCCTAGAAAATTGTTCATGCATGGTGGGTCCATGGTGAATTTGCAATGCGGCGTGCGACGCTTTTTTGTCAGAACTAGTTACATTTCATAATTTATATGTTTATAGCCATATACCAATCTAATTGTTTTATTATAGGTACAGCAATTCATATAAGTCATGGAATTTTAAAGTATTTATCACAGATGAGGGTATTAATTAATGAAAGACCATATAAAAATCCAGTCTGCAATAGTTATTTACAAATTAATGTTATATACACATTATTTTGTTGATATCTTCCTCTGTTTCAACTTTCCAAAGGTCACCACATATTTTTCAAAATCAAAAGCTTCTTCCTTTGGTCCTTCAATTGATATATGCATTAAGCAATTGAGCACTTTTTGGCATAGTCTGTTTCTCGAGGTGATTTTCATCTGTCTGACTACAATTTGATGAAGGAGTAGACTTCTCTAACCAACTTTTCAAAAAAGTTGGGTCAGTAAGGCGATGTTTCTTTGATGGTTGCTTGGACATGGTTGTTAAACTGATGATATTGTTCTTCGAATTTTGCTGATAGAATGGTTTCAGCATCAACAGCAAGTTGTTAACTAAAACTTTGAATGTCATCATTGCTTCACAGAGATTTTACAGGAAACAATAAAAAAAAGTTTATTTGCGTTAATTACAGAAGTCGTCAGTGAGGCATGACATATTTGGCAATTACCTGTTTGGAAGCTAAGCTGACATTTTATTTCATGACAATTAACTATTTTTTTTAAATACATCCCTGTCCGATTTATTTAAAACGCTTCATAATTGTAAAAATCCTATCTTGCCGAAGTGAAAGAAATTTAGCCCCACTTGTGAAAAAAACGGCAAATGAATCCGCTACACGTGAAGCTTGTGGCCCATTGAAATAAAAATAGAACAACACAAGTTTATTAAAAACAATATTTCCGTAAATAACTACGTATATTTACCTCATCAAAAGGCAGTAATTGTATAATATTTTGAAAGTTTTCAATCAAATCTTTTAAATATTTCATAAGACATGTCTTTTTCTCGGCCCGGTAGCGGTGATGTGTATTCTTTGATAAAATCAATCAACCGCGACTAATCTAAAAATAACTGATTGTTGTGACCAATCAAAAAATAATTCATCGATGTAAATTTGGCTGATGAAGTAACTGCGAAACTTTATTAAAAAAAAATGTTTTGTCCATTCTCGGTGAAATTACGTTAGTTTTATTTTATAATACCAGAGACTACACCAAATTTTAAATTTCTACTTTTTAAAGATCACGGTAAAATAACAATGTCAAACAACCGGTCGTTTTTAAGGTGAAATTTATACAGGAAAAGGTTAAACTTTTTATTTAGCACAGAAAGATATGCATTGGAGATAAATCTATTTATTTATTTATTAGCTGACTGGTAACTTCTATTATGTAACCCAAGTCTCGATGTATAACCATCTAATCAAGAAGGTTGTAAAATCCCGGCAAGCGCGACGTGATGCATCCAATTATTAGTCGGATGAGTTTAAAACACCTGTGGAGTGTTGTCGCTTGTTACTTCACATTCAAAATATCGATAATAAATATTTTACACAGTTATAATTTTCACACATAGCGGGATGCATTGCGGCAATGATGAAAGCATGGCGGTCGAAATTTATGCGTAGCGGTACCGCAATGCTTGAATAGCCTAGGGAAAACACTGTATATGTACATGTATGTGGTATGTGTTTTGTAGTAACATGAGTAAGTTAAGTAGTAGGAGTTGTGTCCATTTGTATAATGATGCATATGTCATGTGATGTAATCTGTCTCTTCTAAATAAATGTGCCATGGCAATCGATGTGTTTTTGTTGCTCAAAAGCAAATATAACTTTAGCGGCAATAGTCTATACACCTTATCGCTATTCCCCGCTGACCTGAGAATCTGTCCTGCTTGAACTATTGACGTCATACAACAATCACTTTTCCATTGTGGCATCAGATATTTTGTATTATGACGTCAAAATTTTACGGGAACCTTTGTGATGTCCAGTAATGGCGGACAAATAGCGATAAGGTGTATTGAAATCACAAAACCCCAAAAAATGAAATGTCATACTTCCCCATTCTTTGGCAGCATTCAATGCTTTAGAAGATACATCCTCTAGTTTATGTTTAGCTGCATCCAAAGATAAGTCGATATCACCATCTCCTTCTTCTGTATTTTCTGGTTCTTTTTTATCTGGGTCTGATGTCAACTTTTCTTTCTCAGGGTTATTTTCTTTGTTTTCATTCTCGCCTTGGTTTTCTTTGTTTTCTTCGTCAGATTCAGCTTCTCTCTCTTGGCTCATTCCCAACCAATTTGTCATAGAACTAAACATTTTTGTTTTTGTTATTTCATTCACAGCTGACGGAATTATCGATTTTCAATGTTTACAACAAGACGGAAATGATGTCATCCGTATCCGAAAAAATAAGTACTGTTAATTTTCGAGTTGAAATCAATAGCATTTACAACGCATTTCTTCCCTAAATTTCGTACTCTAAAAACAGATGTGATAGAGATAAAGTGTTTTTTTATTGTATTTTTCGATTACAATTTAATATATTGATAGAAGTAAAGTTTTGCCACAAAATAAAAGTTATAGAGGTAGTAGCAGGGAGGTCAGGCCAAAGTATTTAACTTAGGTTTCAATGACCTTGACACTTAAATGAAAATAAAAAGTCTGAATCATTAATTTGTTTTTCATAAGCCAGTTTATGTGTATATTGACAAGAAAAAAAAATCACTATATAAAAACATTACAAAGCATGGCAACATTTTTTGGAGAAGTGCTCCCAGTAATTTCTAGAGCAGTTGAAGAAGACGATGACAACGACAGCGAATCCGAACTTTTTGAAAGGTTTTTATTCAGATAGTTGAAAATTCAGTTCTGTTACTAATTATCCAGGTCGTCTTTAACAGGTTGGGCTCAAGTCAGGAAAAGTGGGGTATTCCCCGTTTTCAGGGTACACCCCAGTTTTCTGGTGTTTAAAAACCGCAGTATACTGGGACTTCTTTTTTCCTATTCAATTTATGGTATGAAATCTACAAAAGCGCACATTCTACATGTGATAACAATGCTTCATGATAGCAAGTGTTTTTATTAGTTCAAAAATCAGGTATCCGGTCGTTCCGTCCCCAAACCGATCCGGCCCCAAGTCGATCCGGCCCAAAGTCGATCCGTTCCAAGTCGATCCGGCCCACGTCGATCCGTCCCTACGTCGATCCGGCCCCATAATAAAATATGAATAAACTATATTGACTTTGGAGGATTTTGTGACAAATTTTAACAGTATAAATGGAATTTGTAAAAAGTATCGATGATGGATGACAACAGGTAAGTGAAGTATTGGAGTACCAGTCAAAGAATTATTTTAAATCGATACGAAAATGAGTGTGATTGTGTCTGTTTGTATAGCAGCTTCAACATATTAATATCAAGTTATTTTCCATGATAACTTTGAATGTCATGGCGATTTTTATTTTATTTAATTCACACACAGAATAGCTAAATAAATATTTACTGTCCAATGGAACCTATAAATTTTAACTCATCATAATGACTTGTTTAATCAAATCATTAGTCTATAATTGGTTTGTTTATTCAACAATTGTCTGATGATTGTGAACTAAGGTAATGCCACTCGTAATCACTTAATTCAATCAAATCCTGATTGATTAAAGTTACGTAATCAACAAGGTCTTTATAGTTTGATCTTTTGTTTGGTGTTATGTGTTATAATAATTAATTGTATATTTTTTTTCAGGTAACATCAGAGGCTTCTATAACACATTCTTTTTTTTTGTAATATCGAATATAGTCAATATATTTTTTTAAAGTTGACAATATTTTGAATAGTTGTGTGTAGATAAAAAAAAACAAGTTATATGAGTATCCATTATTCTTTATTGCAAGATAATAACAAAATAATTACACTGAATGCACATTTTCACTCTCTAAAATATAATATCATCACAATAAATTCATACACACTAACAAACACACTATCTCTGACACTCACATAAATATATATAACACTTAAATCATTCACACTAACAGTTACACTGTCACTTACATAATATAAAAGGGGTCACACTTGCAGCACTACAATAACATATACAGTAACTATCATACGCAGTACATATATAATATATAGAACTAACAGCACTATAATTGTTCAATTTGATTAGCTCACCAAGAACAAACGCCCTATATATATATTATTCTAAACATAAAGAATACTCATGAAGCATTTAATAAATAAATGTTATATAAACATATAGATTGTAGCCGCACTAACATAATACAAGTCATACAGTTCACTCAATGTCAATTAAATCACTCGCTGTCAGTGTCTTCTTCTGGTTCTGGGTCTAGCACAGGAATGTCGTACATGTGTCCGACGGCATGAAGGAAGAATAAGGTGGTGATGGTACCGTCTTGAAGTTGCTCCCATAGTGAAGAGAGGCGACCCTGTGACCGTTGATAATTGGTGCATTGACAACGGGCAAGACTCTGTTCATCTACCAGACGCACCTGCCTCGAAACAGTTTTGGCTTCCTTGATGAGCGCTGGAACCATCTTGTAGAAGTGGAGTTTGTATGTATCAGCTTGGGGATCGGCTTGTACCGTTGTGTATGTAACTATTTGTTATTACACAGGATGAAAGACTTGTTAAGATCACAGTCAATTGAAAGAAAATGCTAATTACTGCTGATTAATGTTGATGTCTGTTGATTGTACTAAATTCTGTTATATACGTTTTTATTATAATTATACCCAATAATCTTGAAAACTTGTAATGAAAACATAATCAACATAGTTGTTTTAAACTCATCTAAAGAAAATATTTGTCAAAGGCCAATTTTTTTTTACCGTACACCTTTTACATTATAATAAAATTCATAAACATTTATGAATTACAATTAATATATATCTTTATTTTTATTCCTTATAAATATATTTTTTTATTGGGCCGGATCGACTTTAAATATTGGCCGGATCGACGTTGGGCTGGATCGACGTGGGACGGATCGACTTGGGCCGGATCGACGTGGGGCCGGATCGACATGAAACCAAAAATCAAGCTTATTTCAAGTCTAATTTGATGCTCAACTCACAACAAAACAATTCCTTTGTTCACCAATTCATACCTTGATCATCAATTATGAGATGACAACAAGATAAGTTAATCACTTGGGCATTTAAATTCAATGAATAGAAATTTTCAATAGAAGTGAATATAATTCAGTTATGGTCAGTTACACCTGGAGCATGCAACTTGGTCAATTGACTCCTAAACAAAAGATTTGTATGTTTTTGAGTTTTATAAAAAAACATGGCTTCACTTATTCATGTTTTGTTGTTCCTGAAATACTTTAAGTATTTACAAATACTACTGACGCAGTTAAAATGTGCGCTTTTGTAGATTTCATGCTTTAAATTGAAATAAAAAAAGGAAGTCCCTGTAAACGGGGGTTTTTTAACACCAGAAAACTGGGGTGTTCCCTGAAAACAGGGAATACCCCACATTTCCTGACTTGTCCCCAACCTGTTTAATAATAATATTTCTGACAATTCTGGCTTTGCCAGGCAATGGCTAAAGAGCTTGACTGTTCAGCCGCTTTCGAGAGGCTTCGGCCATAGTCATATTGTTCTTAACATTTATATATATATATATATATGCATGATCTTTGTTTGTTGATTACATTTTAACAGATTTGCATCTGATATTGTACAGTCTATTGAGATTTAACTTGTATTAAGGTTCATCATAACAAATGGACAAAAATGGCTGTGTTTACACCTCAAAAACTACTCTGAGTACAGACTTACCTGTCCAGTTGGAAAAGTTTTAAGGCCTGGCATCCACTAGATATATAAAAGTTAAATGCATTTTGTGTTTCAACGATATAATTTTTTTTGGATTTTGATGGGCATTTTTTTTCCTTTCTGCAGAAGGTGTAAAAATAAACACACACCTGAATTGCTTTGATACTGTCCACTCAGTTAAACCCTTTAACTCACCTATAGTTGTGTAGATACCTATTGTCTGTCTATTGTCCATGTCAATCAAGGACAATCAATACAATACAATACAGTTTTTACCTGAGAGGGAGCATCTCAAAGTTGTATCCCAACTTAGTTTATTACATCACACTTTCAGCAATAAAATGATCTATATAAAATATGCGACACAAGAGAGAGGTAATACATATTTCGAAATAGAATAATACCGGCGATGAGATCTTATTGTGTTATTAGTATCATAGGCCTATTAAGTTGTCAAATTGTTTAACTTTGTTGATTGTATATTTTAATTTTTTTAACTGTAAAATAAATAATTATAATCATGTATCGTTTTTCTCTTGTATTTTTAATACATAAATCACTGGTACACATTGTATAGACTTTGTAGTTGGATGGATGGGTGTTTGTTTAACGGCCAGTGGCAAATTCTGCATATTCAGGACAACTTAATTATAGTTATAAATATATATACAATATACATGATATATGAATAGAACTATGATTTTGGAAATCCAAGCGACTTTTTGTCACTTCACAGGAAAAAAAAATCACTGGTACATATTGTATGAAATGAAATTCACCTATTAACTATCGAAAATCAATACAACTACGATGTATGTGTTCTACATCAGGTCATAAATTAAATTACATGGGGATTGACAACTTGTGTCAATTTAACACCTTTGGTTTTATCGCTACATGTATTATACGCTATTTTAGAATTGAAGGATCAGAAACAAGTACATGTACATAAAGTATTTAATTTAAAAGTTATTTATCCATTTTTAAATTGCATGATTTATTTTCATTAATACAAACGGACCTAATAAAAAGTTTTCATATCAATTATTTACACAACATGCACAAGTGAATTTATATTTTAATCCCGAAGTTACAAAACTTTGATTGTTCACATTGTTTAAACATGTTAAATATATAATACCTATAGCTGATTGATTGACCACTATAGAAATGTAATAAAATCAGAACAAATCTTTTAACTTCATTTGAATATCCATCAGTTTGGAATTATCTAATTGTGGGCACCCATGACATATATGTTTTGCCGCAATGCATATCAATTTTTCCCACGGTTATAGTATTTATAGATTGTAACAAACTTTTGGAGCACATGTTTTATTGCAGAATTTCATGAAATATTTTAGGTACACAATTTTGTGTACTTTCCCCAACATGAATGAGCAAAAAGGAAACATTTATATTATTGATATATAAAACGTAAAAAAAGACAATATACATGTAACAGTATATGCATGTTTCTCTACGTGATGATGAAAATAATGTATTGATCCTTATTCTTATAAATAAATGGTTGAAAACAATGTATTTATCTTCATTTGTATAAACAGTCCGGGGACTTATTGAAATAAGTGATTTTGAAATCACTCATTTAAGTAGCAAATTCGAAGTTTTGTCGCAAATTGTGATTTTGTAGTTTTACCAAAAATTTTAAACACATAGATTTAGATAATATCTTTTCATTAGTAAAATTGAAAAACATTAACTTTTTGCTTCTTTTAAGCAGCAAGGTTTATGCCTTTGATGCAATCATTTAGCTGCAAATTCTATTTTAGTTGAAAAAATGCTATAAAAATGGCTTGACATAATGAACTGATACTTTCTTAACAGATTTTTCCGAGCAGTGGGAGTATTTTTCCTGTAAAATACAAGGTTTCATCTTATAGATTATGTAATAAAATTCTACTGTTCGCGATCAAAATTTCACTGTTCAGGGGTGTTGAAATTATAGGGGGTTATTAAAATAATGATACTTGAAGAAGTGATTTTTTGGAAGGAAATTGAGGTATGATACTTAAACAAGTGATTTTTATGTCATTGTCCTAGATTTAGTACAAGGTCATCACCTGACATGACCGGGTCATCCTATCAACACAGATGTTGGTTCTGATAATTTTAGCAACATAATTAGTCCCTGGATCATTAGTATTCTATATTTAAAGCTACAATAAAATTAAATCACTTAGTCTAGTGATTAATTTGTACTACTTAAATAGGTGATTATTAAAGAAAGACAACTCTTACTTCCAACCTTTATGGACATAATGATACTTGAATCAGTGATTTAGAAAATCACTCATTTAAGTAAGTCCCCTGACTGATGAATAAATGATAAGTTATATAGTCATGATAGTACGAATTGTAAAAAAGTAATCTCAAGATTGAAAGATAATGCTAACAACAGAAAAAAACAAAAACAAATTATAACACGAACATGACGAAGAAACTAAAATTTATTGTAAAAAGTTACATCTTTATCATTTTCATCAATTGCATCCGACAAGATAATAATCATGTATTAATCCATTTACTGATCAACACAGGTAGATAAAAAGCGTTCAACCGTAACAGACCGATAAACGCGTGCTGTCTTTCAGTGGCGATTAAGGATGAAAGGGTTCATGTAGTAGCTGTACCTGTCAATCATTTAATTTATGACTGTCGGACATATGTCCGAGATGAGATGTCGGACATGTCAGATGTCCGACTATCATCATAGCAAGACTCAAAATGTACTGTATATATATATATGTATCTTTTAGTTATTAATTGTTTATCTTTTATTTCTCAGTAGAGTAACAGCCTTATGGACCCGAGCAGCTAAACAGAGTATGTCAGAATCAGAAGGAAAATTGCCATGTGAAATACTAATTATAGCAGTGGGACCAGCAGCTACAGGTTAGACAATAGACAATATTTATTTGCACAAACACATTTACATTAAATGGTTATGGCATACAAACAGTTGAGACAATAAACTGACAATAATTGAATTAGAGTGACAGTGGTAATCACACGAAAAGAAGACTACAAATACGTGTGTATTGACAGTTAACTAATTATTAATCATCTAAATGTCCATGAACAAAACAGGATGCATATAAAAAGGTTAAAATTATACAGATGTCCTCAATACATGCAATAAAAGACAATCATTAATATATTTTGTGGTGATTTTTATAATGACTGGTAAACTGCTATTCAAAAGTGTGGTCATATGCCTCAGTGTTATAGCTGATTGCAATTTAATAAAATTGAAATTAAGATTAGTATTAATTTTTTGTATATAGGCATCCCTCAATGATATATAGCATGGACATACTGAGAAGAAATGGTATTCATCCTCAATTTCTTGCCTTTTACAGGATAGGCAAATGCGTTGATTTCTTTCAATGTTGGTATAACACCCCCTTTCAATTGCTAGGGAATGGGTACTGAGTTTAAATTTACTGAAAACTGATCTGTCAGTTTTAAATTTACATATATCGATATATTGGGGCCTTTTTCCAATTTTTTGAGTCTAACAAAAGAAATTTAGTTTTTCACATTTACGGATAGAACAGTTCATAATTTGATAAGCCTGGTCAACGGTTCTTTGTTGGATAGTATTTATATAATATTTTATGTTAATGGGGTCAAAAGTAAGATGGCCAAAACCTAATGTATTTAAATATATAAATTAGATATAGAAATCCTTATTTGGTTGTGTTTTTGGTAAAATAAATTTTATATTGGCGGAATATAACGTCAAGTAAAGTGTTTCCATCCTGTTTTATGAAACACAAATCAACCTCAAGTCTGTCATGCTCTGACTTAGACAAGTCCAAAATTGTAAACACATTTTATCATTATACATACATAGTTTGACTTCTACAAACAAAGTCAGAGGCAAAAACAATTTTGTTTATATCGATATCTGAGCTCTGACCGAACACTGTAGTATTTCCATACCATTCAAGTTTCCTCTAACATGTCTAACAAACATGGCATGATGGCAAATGTGAAAAGATTTTTTTTCTTCATTTTCCTTTAATAATATGTAATAATTTGCACATCTTGAGACATTTATAAGTTACACAAAATAAAAAAAATCCTTTAGCTCCAGATCTGAATTAAGACAAATTGTGAATGATTTACACAGGACAAAATATCTAACACAAACACTTTTTTTGAATGAAAATAAATGCAGAAAACACATTAAAGCCAACTCTAAGTAAAAGTGGTGGTAGCTGCTCTGTGCATATTTTTTATGCCCGAGCCGTAGGCAAAGGGGGCATTTAGTGTTACCTTTGACAGGCTGTCCTTCCATTCGTCCCATTTTCATTTATGCACTCTAACTTAAGTTATACTCATCCAAATTTTATGAAACTCATACACAATGCTAAGAACCAAAATTTGCAGACAGAGTTTTAATTTTGGCAATATGTCACTTACCGTTCTAGAGTAATACCTCTTTATAACTTGGAAAATTGCAATTTGTTTTTGTGTCCGCACTCTAAAGTTTTTTCTATCCAAATTTTATGAAACTCATACACAATGCTCAAAGCCAAAACACAGGCAGAGTTCAAATTTGGGCAGTATGTAATTAACCGTTTGAGAGTTATGCCCTTTATAACTTGGAAAATTGCACTGCTCCACTATATATATATATATATATATAGCTAATGACACCTGTTGAGTAACTATCTGTTTAAGACTACTTTGGACACACTTGACTACATCATTGGTGTCAGTTTTGTTGGTGGAGTAAGCCAGAGTACATGGAGAAAACCAAGACCTTCAACAGAAAAAATTGTGTAGTCAGTTGATAAAACATACCCAGGGATAAGGTATCACATGAGATCTTAATTTGATTGTTTTTCTTTTGAAGGTTTTATACAGACATATGTTATTCATAAAAACTATGAAATAATTGCTGGATTATTTAGTGGACTAAATGAAGATGATATTAATACACTCAGTCAAAAAACACCAACAGACAAATCCTGCTTCCTATATAGAAAGAAAGACTGTCCAAAAATACTGGTGTGTCAATGTAATATAACAGTTACACCAGAACAAGCCTTCTCATTTACAGAACAAGTAAGTCATTCCACTAGTGTGTCACTGTTACATAACTGTTACCACAGAACAAGTAAGTCATTCCACTAGTGTGTCAATGTAACATAACAGTTACACCAGGACAAGTAAGTCATTCCACTAGTGTGTCAATGTAACATAACAGTTACACCAGAACAAACCTTCTCATTTACAGAACAAGTAAGTCATTCCACTAGTGTGTCACTGTTACATAACTGTTACCACAGAACAAGTAAGTCATTCCACTAGTGTGTCAATGTAACATAACAGTTACACCAGGACAAATAAGTCATTCCACTAGTGTGTCAATGTAACATAACAGTTACACCAGAACAAACCTTCTCATTTACAGAACAAGTAAGTCATTCCACTAGTGTGTCACTGTTACATAACTGTTACCACAGAACAAGTAAGTCATTCCACTAGTGTGTCAATGTAACATAACAGTTACACCAGGACAAATAAGTCATTCCACTAGTGTGTCAATGTAACATAACAGTTACACCAGAACAAACTTCTCATTTACAGAACAAGTAAGTCATTCCACTAGTGTGTCAATGTAACATAACAGTTACACCAGAACAAACCTTCTCATTTACAGAGCAAGTAAGTCATTCCACTAGTGTGTCAATGTAACATAACAGTTACACCAGAACAAGCCTTCTCATTTACAGAACAAGTGAGTCATTCCTTTAGTTTGTCATAGTTACCCTAGAACAAGCCTTCTCATTTACAGAACAAGTAAGTCATCCCACTAGTGTGTCAAGGTAACATAACAGTTACACCAGAACAAGCCTTCTCATTTACAGAAAGAGTAAGTTCACAGTATGGCCTTCAACAATGAGCAAAACCCATATCGCATAATCAGCTACATGTATAAAAGGCCCTAAAATGACAAATATAAAACAATTCAAACTAGAAAACTAACTGTCTGATTTATTTACAAAACAATGAACGAAAAACAAATATGATAAACAGTAACAAATCACAACCACTGACTTACAAGCTCCTTAATTCACATTTTACATTTAGACATTTAATGAAAGTTTTTCATATTAACATAATCATATTCGATTCGAACTTGTGTGCATCACTAAAAAGTTGAAATAATAATGTACAATCAACATGAAAATGTTTAAATTTCATAAGCAACTACATGTACCTATAATGTTGAATAATGCAATTAAGAAAGCAAGATAAACATGAAACTTTAAATAGAAGACTTTCTAATTCGTGTATTTTCCTGTTCATTTAATTTCCTATGTCACAATGCTCATGTTTTAAAATCACTGTAAGAACGGATTGTTCAATTATGTCATTTACACCGGTTGACCCAAGGATAAACCGGTGTAACTCATTCATTAAAAAGCTTTAGATTGGTGTATTGGATTGTGCTCAATATTTCTATTTTTTTGTAGTTATTTCCATCGATTAACTTAGAAGATGCTTATGTATCCGTATTGTGTTCAGCTCATACGAGTGAATATAAAGCAGATATACCTATATCTGACATGGAGGTACCATTCTTACGATCTCTGAGGTCCACAAAGTATCTAGGAACTCCATTAGCACCTTATGTTGATCAACCTAATATAGTAACAGGACTACCTGCTCAGTGTAAGTATATTTTGTATTTGAGTTAGGTCCCCCTTTTCTCAATTTCAATGTTGAAGATGGACAAAGTAGCTATATAAGGATCAGTGTACCTTTTGGTTATCATATTTGTTTAAGTACATGTGTCACTCACATTTGAAGAGAAATACAGTTTTTATGCCCCTGCTGCTAGGCAAAGGGGGCATTAAGTGTTACCCTTGTCCATCCTGTCTGTCCATTGAGTATGTCCCAAAATAGACAACTTTCGAGTTCGATGCATTTCCGTCAAAAACTTTGGTTTTAGTGAACATCATTCGTGCGTTTAGGGGCGTCATCACTTCCGTTCCAATGTTGAGCGTGTGGTTGGAAAACTATAATGCTATATTGCACGAATTATTCGGCAAATTGAATTGTAATAATTGTCTTTAAGCACTGCTGTCATTAGGGAATTGTGATTAAGTACCTACAGAACGAATATTATTTCTAGTTTATCCTGCACAATGACGATCACTAAGACGCTTGATGAACGTTTATAGTGCAGGGATACAGGTTATCCCCTCTATCTGGTAAATGACGTCATAAAGGCGCGCATAATTGACGAGTTTTTTCCGGTGACGGACAAACTCGAAAGTGGTCTATTGGTTTTCGTTCTCTAACTTTAGTTTGCCTCAACCAAATGTTATAAAACTTAGACACAATGCTTATTACCACAAAACACAGATCAAGTTCAATATTGGGTGTCATCACTTTACCTTTCATGGGTTATGCTCCTTTATAAACATGAAAATTGCAGAATTTTTCGTTTCTGTTTTCTAACTTTAGTTAGCCTCAACCAAATGTTACAAAACTTATACACATTTACCATAAAACAGATCAAGTTCAAATTTGGGTGGTGTCACTTTTATAGTTCTCTAATTATGTCCCTTTATAACGTTGTATGCAAACTGGGGCATCATCTGTGTCCCATGGACACATTCTCCATTTATTTTTTCTTAACTCTATTTATAAATGGTTGCCTAGAATCAAAATTATAAGATAACAATTCTTTCAAATCTTGAAACTGATTTTGTGAAAATGATTTTATGTTGATATAGCATTCCCTTTCTACTATTCCACTTCCACTCTCTTTCTTAATCTCTCTTTTTTACCTTCACTCAATCTTGCCATCTCTAGATCTATCACTCTAGCTATTTCTGTCATTCTGTCATACTCTTGTTCTCATTCATTATATATATATCCTCTCTCTCTTTCTTACTTTTGATCTCTCTCTTACTTTTTCTCACTCTCTTACTTTTGCTCTCTATCTTTCCTTATTCAATATCTATTGAACATGTGACACTTATGAAAAGGTAATTTTACTTTCAGCAGCAAAACTCCTAAACCATATCACCTTGTATATACTGTATGTTTATTTGTTTTTAGGTTTATCTTATTGTCAAGTAAACAAAGTAATAGCAGTACTATATGTATGTTACACAGATAGTATACAGGTAGATTCTCCTACCATGAGATGTTTTCTACCCCTGATACAGTCCACACCCATCAAAGATATTGTTGAGGTAATTATATAAGTATTGAATAAATGTTAATATGAGTAGTTTTATGTGTGGATTCATATATTTGTGTACATGATTATTTACCAACAATAAGCAATCCATTATTCATAGTATAGAATAACTTTTAGGCTGCCTTAATGAAAATTAGACTTTTGGAGAAGATTAGGGGGATTATAGATTTTATTTCTAATGGAAATCTACAACACTTGACCCGAAAATGTATAACACTTGTAACACGTGAAGTATACATACAACATTCACTTTTGCTTTTTGGTTTAAGATATTGTGATGTCATAGTAGGAATGTCTGTAAAGTCTTAATAGGGAACACATTGCAATAAAATTATTGGAGTACTCCCTGAGTGCATATCTACAACAGTGTGCATGTCTGCAGCCATTTCTTAGAAAGTAGTAATCATATTTTTATTTGATGTGCAGATGCATGTTGTAGAGACTGACAATGTGCCAAATGTCAATCACATGACCAATATTTCATAATTCAGAGACTTCAATAAAGTTTTTGAATTTCATTAAGTTTTACATTTAAGTATAACTTTAAGAGAGTTCATTTAGGACAATATGATAGAAAAACAAAAGATATGGGGTATCCATCCATGACACAAAATCAGTAAATGCACAACATGAGTTTACATTAAAAGTAAGTCACTGCAATCAACATCTTATGGCATATTGATGTTGAAGTTTTATGTCTAATTCAGATCTCAGATACTAATTGATCTACAGTCATGAGACTTTGTGTAAGGATACATCTTTTGGATAATAAAAATTCACTCTTGCCCATTATTTTATGCTTCATTGAATTCAGTTAAGTGTTATGAGCTTTAGTTTCAATTGATCTGTTTTTTATATAGCTTTGTATCATACTGATAAAACCATACAAACATTTATTCAGACACAAATTCTACTTTCTTTTTTTCAGAAGAATCCAAAGGCAGATGAAATGTTGAGGACTATAGTAGATTTACATACCAAACATAATACATTATATTTATAAACAGTTGTGTTTGTACTTACATGAGAAATTATACAGGTGCCACTTATGGAGCAGGGTCTGCGTACCATTCTGGAGCACCTGAGATTACCCCTGGTTTTTGGTGGGGTTCCTGTTGCTCAGTTGTTGGTTTTGTATACTGTGTTTGTCTTTTGGTCGTTTTTCTTTTTTTAACTATGGTTTTGTCAGTTTGTTTTTCAACTTGTGAGTTTCAATGTCTTTTTTGTATCTTTTGCCTCTCTTTGTGTTCTAGATAACCATCAGACCAATCATTTTAGCAACATGTATCTTTGGTCCATTTGAGCTATTGCCATCACTTGGGTCTATTGTTATCTGTTGATTTGTAACATATTGCTCATATTTTACAAAATTTCTGCTGAAGCATCTTTTGGTATATAGTATCCATTTTTTCTACGAATAATTACATTACATAGAAGTTTGTTTACAATTACTTAATTTTGATTGGCTTAGAAAAGACAAAAAGAATTGTTCATTTGTAAATTGAACCAACAAGACTGGCTGTCATTCCTAAAACAAGAAGATTTCACTACAAACTGCTAAGAGTCTGAAACGACTATATTTTGTTCTCAACCAGTAAGCAGATTTTACTTGACAAGACTCGACATAATATTGACAGTAATTAACTGTACTTGACTTTGGTCTTGACTTTACCTAATAAGTCTGATTGAGTACCTGATAATCTTGGTATAGTCTGAATATGGTCTCAACAAATGCTAGACCAGTCTAGACTCAGTCTTGACCAGTCTGGACCTGTCTCAACTCAGTCTTGACCTTTAAATTTAGTCTCAACTGGTCTGAATCAGCCCATCTAACTTTACTGGTCGAGCACAAAATATGGGCTTTTCAGACTATGAGCAGTTTGTAGTGTTTGCATAAATTGTCATTGTCTTACATCTTGAAAAAAAAATTTTTATAACAAATAGCAAAATTGTTACTGCAGTACTCAGAATGTCAAGAAGAATCTATTTTAGTTTCTACAGAAATTATCAGACAACTCATTAATACAGAAGTTATTGCCCTAGAAAATAATAGGTAGAAAGGTATGTTTAGAGCAAAAGTGATTATCAATACAAGATCTACAGAAAGGCAAGATGGATGAAACTATCACATGCATTCTTTTTGGATCTATTGCAAATAAATGACAAATTTTTGGAAATAAATGGATTTTCAACTCACCTAACCTGAAAGACACGATATTAGACAAAGAAAGTGCAAATAGCAAAAATGACCATCAAGGCTAGATCAACTATAGGTTCAACATGATCATAATTCCCTAAAACCATCAGTCTACTCTTTATATTGTCCTTTAATGAGTATTTTCATAATCGTTTTTTTTTGGCAGAAGCTATAATAGAAAAAAGTATTAAGAAAAATACCAAACTGGTAAATTCAAAATGGAGGAAGTCAATAAAACCTGACAAAATCAAATGTGAGACTATATTAACCAACAGAACGAATGGAAAATAACTGTCATAGTCCTGTCTTGGTACAAGGAACGGTGGATTCAACCTGGTTGTATAGCTAGCTCTAAACCTCCCACTTGTATGACAATTGTCCATAGTTCCGTTACATTGTGCTCGCTCCCCATCTGGCTGGCAACATTTACACTGGCGACCTGGATATTGCCAATTAGTCTAGGCATCTTTGTGAAATATGTAATCTAAATGTCCGACATAACGTCAGCCTAATTTTTTATCAATTTGAAACACAACTTTATAATACTGATGGATTCAGTTGAGGATAATGCCACGTCATGGGCTAACTGCAAACAACGTAGATACTCTTTTGGAATGGAGGTCGTTGACATAAATTAAAATTAAATGAATGGGTATGAGTACTCGTGCTACATCGATCTTTAAAGACAAAAATTTTGTTGAACACTTTTCTTAACTCCATGACAAATATGCTGTTTTCCCTGCAGATAAAGTCCCAAACAACAAACGTTTTTGTTGTTGTTACGAATAAAATTTATATAAAAATTATTCAACAAAAAACGTTTTAAAAGTGACAACACAAAGAAAGAAAGGCACTTTATTAAGAAACAATGAAAACAAATATGTATAGCAATACACTTACCAAGACATGATTAAAGATTTATCAACACAAAAAACGTTTTCAGAATGTCACTTTATTTTGAAACAATGAAAACAAATATTTATATACTAAGCACCAACCAAAACACGATTATAAGATTATTAAACACAAAACCAATAAAAAGGGTGCGAACCTGTTTTTTGAACGAACGGACCCGGATTCATATAAAATCGTTTTTGTGTGTTAATCACATTATATAAACTGTCTGATAAAGGAATTAGGTATTGATACGTCATTTATTTACCAAGGAGGAAAATCCTGAATAATCATCGGTCTCTTCATTGTTCCTGTGGAATTTCAACCAATGATGAAGAACTGAATCTTCCTTCACTGGATTTGATACCTAAACTACGTAAGTGCCCCTACAAACAACGTTATATTGCTGGGTCTTTCAAATGCTCCATTAAACCAATTCCTTGATTAAACCTCTTTCTAAATTATAAACCTCAATTTGATCAATTTGATCGGATATCAAAACCAGGTTCTCAAAGTTAACCACCTACTCAAGGGTGCGTTAGGAATAAATTATATTTTTATACGACCGCAAACAAATTGCGTTCGTATATTGCATTCATGTCGTCGTCGTCGGCGGCGGCGGCGTCCGAAGACACATTTGGTTTCCGGACAATAACTTTAATTAGTTTAAGTGAAGGGATCTCTGAAATTTTACCAGAAGGTTCAATACCACAAAAGGAAGGTTGGGATTGATTTTAGGGGTTGTGGAACCAACAGTTTAGGAATAGGGGGCCAAAACAAGCATGTTTGTAGTTTCCGAACAATAACTTATGTGTTAGTGTATGGATCTCTCTGAAATTGTACCACAAGGTTCCATATCACAAAGGGAATGCTGGGATTGAGTGGTGGTAATTGCCATAAACGTTCAGGAATTAGGAGCCAAAAATGGGCCAAAAACAAGCATTTTTCTAGTTTCCAGACAATAACTTGTGTTTAAGTGTATGGATCTCTCTGAAATTGTACTACAAGGTTTCATATCACAAAGGGAAGGCTGGGATTGAGTTTGGGGGTAATTGCCTCTAACGTTTAGAAATAAATGGCATAAAAGGGCCAAAAACAAGCATTATTCTAGTATCTAGACAATTGTGTGAAAGTTTATGGAACTCTCTGAAATTGTACATTTTTCCTGAAGAGAAAAAAATCTTCAAAATTTCAAAATAAAAAAATGGGGGGGGGGGGGGTTCAAAAAGTTAGGGGGATTTTTTTTTTTCAATTTTTTTTGGGGGGTTCATATTTATCTTCTTCAAAATTTTTGAAATTTCCAATTTTTTGCCATTTTTTTTAGGGGGAATTTTTCGCAATTTTTTTTTTGGGGGGGGGTTCCAAAATTTTCCATTTTTACATAGATTATTTCTGATTTATATATAAATAGCAACAACTACTGATATGACAGGAGATACACACCGAACAGGGTGTGATAATTATTATATATAACAGATTAAATAAGTATTGTGCAACAGCACAGTATTGCGCAATAACAAGAAGTCTTCAATTGAAAATGAATACAAATCTTTTTACCAATTTCAATGGGATTAATTTAAAGTCTTACATTTTTGGGGGTTCTAACCTTGTAATACTATTTTGGATATTTGGCCCCATTTTTAAATTGGTCTACATTGAGGTACAAAGGGTCCAGAATTAACTTTTGTTTGATTTCACCAAAAAACTGAATTATTGCGGCACTATGATATGCTGAATCTTATTGTGCATTTAGATTTTTTATTTTGGGCCCTGTTGTCAAATTAATTAAATTGAAAATGGAAATGGGGAATGTGTCAAAGAGACAACAACCCGACCAAAGAGCAGAAAACAGCCGACTTAATATAGTCCATATTAAGGTTCGATGGGTCCACAATTAAACTTTGTTTGATTTCAACTAAAATCAAATTGTTGGTGTTTTTTTATATGCTGAATCTAACCATGTTGTTAGATTTTGGATATCAGACCATACTTGGTAAATTAAATGTTCTATTTCAAATTTTTAAGATCATTGACCTCATTTAATTCGTGTCAGAAACCTATGTTATGTAAAAAATTTGATCACAATCCAAATTCAGACAGTATCAAGCTTGAATATTGTGTCCAAACTTGCCCCAACTGTTCAGGGATCGACCTCTGCGGTCGTATCAGGCTGTGCTCGGCGAAGCATTTTATTGACGTTTTCCCCCACGATGTCTGTTTGTTTTGCTCACACATTGTTGTCAATATAAGTTGTCAATATAATGGAATTCTATGCGACTGTCAAGTGAAAGGTTTAGCTAGCTATAAAACCAGGTTTAATCCAACATGTTCTACATAAGGCAATCCCTGTACTAAGTCAGGAATATGACAGTTGTTATCCATTCGGTAGATGTGTTTGAACTTTTGATTTTACCAATTTATATAGGTCTTTCCGTTTTGAATTTCCATTGGAGTTCGGATTTTTGTTATTTTACTTTTTTGTTACATTTTGAGAACGTGTTTTTCAACAAACAATCGGTACTCCCATGGGAACCAATTGGTGCTCCTCTTCATGCCGACTTGTTCCCTGATTCATTTGAGGCTGACTATATGAAGGAGCTTTTTAGTGAGAATGAAAAGAAGCTAACATTGTCCTTTAAATCAATGTTCCGGTATATACAAGATGTCCTCTCACTAAATATTGCAAAGTGGGATGAGTATGTTGAACAAATTTATCCTGCAATTGGGTGTCTTATCAAACATTAACAGCCCAACAGATATCACTAGCCTGTATTTGTATAGTATACATATATCGCTTTAAAGATCCGCCCACTAATGGGCTATTTTTGTGTATTGCTGTTGACGAGTGTTGTATGAACTTTCGTGACCCCAGAATGTGTATTGCAGTCGCATTCCAATGACGTTTTGTTCCGTCT